TACTTGCCTGATAACATGTGAATGACTGAGGGAAACCATTCCTAGTTCAGCGCGCATTACACACCTCTTATTTCTTGTCAGAGAGATGTCGAGCTACTAGAGTCGCCTGTGCTATTATGAACGTTTTGTTTATTACATTCCCAAATTCCTGATTTCGATGTGAATTCTCCACGTCACCCCATTGTCATGTCACTAGAGACGGTGGCTTATTGAGGTGTTAGAGGCCGTCCCTACTGTATTGTTCATCAATGTTCACTCATGAAGACAAAAGCTTAGACACGAACCAGTTAATTCGTCTGTTGATGCTGCGTGTTCATCAATACGAACTTATCAGTAATTTTTGTCTTGCCACTCTTAGTAACGCAACATCAACCTCTTATGATTAATGTTGGTAGTGAATATAAATCTGCTGTTTGTATACATTTATAAATCGATACATAATCTTCCTAAAATATATATCATTGATGTTATGTAACAATACCGACAATATATAAATACATTTTGATGGAGACTTCTTTAGTCGCTTTGTAAGACAAGATGTAATTGATGGTGACGCGATAGTGGACATTATTCTTATTGCAAGACTCGCCCTCCAGCTGAGATGAGCATAAAGAAGCTCAAGGCTTCTCATCATAAAGTTAGCCTGCTGCTCTTAGTGCCGTTAATCTAATATAGCCAACGAGAAGTAATCCGACCTTGGAAAGTTCCATACCAAATCGTGATGGCCCCTGGCATGTGCAGTGAACATTTTGAACAGTTCAACAAATGGAGCGACTCCTCTAACCTATCCCCTCGTATACAACTTTAATACTGAACAAGTTCTTTCTGACATTCCTGCGATTCATGTCTCTAGTTTGAATCGGTTTTCCTACATTCTGCTGTTGCAAGCTTGGAATATTCATAGTTTAGTCATGCACGTGCCCAATCAATGCCATCTTGCGCACTTCTAGGTGTATTCATGCCCCAATAAATACCATCTTATTAGCACATTTAGGTACATCTACATTCGTGCAGCTGCCCTAGAGTATATGAAGGGGAGTTCAGCGTGTCAAAAAGCTAGCTACGTGGTGCTAAAAATCCCCATCACACAGGATGGTTAGTCATACAGAGGCATGTGAAAAGTAGTCTGCACTGGCAGACTCTGGGTGTATTATGAGGATATCAACACAAGAGTGAATAAGGCAGCAGTGATACTAAAAGTCCATCACACAGGTTAGCCATACAGGGCTATATGTTTAGTAGCCTGCACTGGTCAATTTTGGGTGCAATATGAGGATATCCTCAAACACGCGAGTGAATAAAGTAATTGCAATGTTCCATGTACCTCATGCCAACTGGTCTGAAAGGTCTGATAACTGGGCATTCGGTGATGTAGTGTGGGAGATCGTGCCCCAGTTCCTGCTCACAGAGTTAGCACCTGGTTACGACGGCACAGCTGGTGTCATAAGTCTAAGTACACGAACTTCAGACCCAAGTGGATGGTGACAGAGACCTTAAGAGGAGCGAGAGACAGAGATGATCTAGTGGGACAGGTGCCATGATGTCACAGATGATGAGTGGCGATTCATAGGTAACGTATGATGAATGCTGAGTACTGAGTTAACGGGTGCCAGGAAAGCTTTATGGAGGCACTGAAGACATGTGACAATACATTAGAGCGTGTTACGTGTACCGGCAAGATGCACTCCTCCCCAGCCTAATAAGAACAACACTCCCACCCCCTACCCGTGTAAATAGTCTGGACGCCTCGTAGTTATATTTCGTTACGTTTAAGGAAAATTATGAACCCAGAATTTGATGTCAGAAGGCAGGTAAGAAGCCCAACCTGAGAAACAAGATGGATGACACACCCAGTCAGGAAGGAGCATTTCCCGCCGAAAGCAAACCGGAAGCGGGTACATTGGGTTTACAGGAAAGTTGGAATGATGATTGGCTGACCTCAGAGAGCACAGTCAATTAAAACACGTCGTTGTGTGACGTGACCGCCAGCGTGGCGAGTGGAGACTCCAAGGGACGTCACTGCACGCCTAGCGACTGTAGAGGACAGATGTACCATTTGTTTCTCCAGCAAGCAGTAGTCTCGCCCGTGGAGGTGGACTCCAGATAGTCGAAGTCACGGTCGCACAAACCACCTGTCCTTTTGTTCTTTGAACACGAACTAAGCACTTGTTACACCAGTAAATATATTTCAATTTTCATTGAAAACAAAAAGTTGTCTACTCAATGTCATAACATGTCATTTTTCTTTATAGCATAAATTATGAAACTGAAGTTATCTGCCTCGGGGTCCTCATTGGGGGAGGATTTCAGGTCCCTCGACACCTGAAACACCTGCTTCGTCCCACCTATTATACCGTCCTCACATCCTGGACCAGTTACTCCACTTATAAGCGTGTTTAACAAAAAATTAATAAGTGGATCTTTTTCCCTATGAGTCCCTTTCACAGTTACATCAGTCATGTTTGCTGTTAATGTCATTTTCTGGTTTACCGTAATGTATAACGCTAGATAATCATTATATATTAATTATATACACATTTTACTAATGACTGACGCCAGGATGTCCGGCCACCACCCATCTCTTCCACCTTCCGTCTGCCTCAATACTCTACTTCCTCCCTGTCTTTCCCTACTCAACTCAGTCTGAAAACACCTGTTGTTGTTATAGATTCAGCTACTCTGAACAAGTTCAAAGTAGCACGGGCTATGGTGAGCCCGTAGTGGACATACCTGGCATAGGAGCGGTGCTGTGTGTGAAAACACCTGTTTATGCAAAGATTAAATATTACGGACGACAGGTGTAGCAGGAGGGTCCACAATCATCACAACATTCACCAGTCACTACCATCCCGCCGTTCAGTGTGACACTATTTCACACAGGTACCCATCGGACACATCTTCCACAGGTCGTGGCACGCAAATTTACAACGACCCCCCACCCCATCTCTCCCCAGGAACCATGGCTTGATAATGGTGGTGCCACGCCCTCACGACCCTTCTCGTCTCCCCTACCTATTGCTTCCTTTCCCCTTCACTTCCGCCCTACGCTCTCCCCCCCTCATTCTTTCCTCAATAGGAGAGATCCACACTCATTCCCTCGACACCACTGAGGGAGCGAGCGCGCGCGCGCGCACACACACACACACACACACACACACACACACACACACACACACACACACACACACACACACACACACACACACACACACACACACACACACACACACACATTGGAGGAAACAAGAAACACTGTAGAATAACAAGTTGACAAATCCACAAGGGCCGTGACGAGGATTCGAACCTGCGTCCGGGAGCATCCCAGACACTGCCTTAATCGACTGAGCTACGACAGGGTAAAAGGGTTGAAACCGAAGTTCTACTGAACTTACTGGATCCCGTAGCCTCTCAGAGGCACAAACCAGTCTTTTACACAACCACCCCCCCCCCCTGCACCCGAGCTATGTCGGAATGCTCCCGGACGCAGGTTCGAATCCTCGTCACGGCCCTTGTGGATTTGTTCATTTGAGGCATCACGCTTGTGTGATCTCTGTGTGTACAGCCCGTCCTCCAAACAAAGATCCAAAAATGATTCCATGCACCCGCCAAACCCCCTGTTTATGAATGAAAAGCGGTTTACACACGACTCGACTGCTGACGTTCGAACATATCCGGAACAAGTGCTTCACTGACGAATTTTGTTCGAATCACAACGCTATAAATGCTTCACCCACGTACAACAAATACAAATAATCGCCAACAGAACCTAAACACCTGACCTATCCTATGCCTATATGTACACAATATGCTAATATATTATAGTATTAATTTATACTTGAGAAAATTCCCGTTATGAATAAACAGTATGTTAAAATTTATGAATGCGTCTGTGGGGTTGACCGCTGGATGTAATGGACTTGAGTCGAGGACGGGTTGGTGTGTAACAAGTTAACAAGCTTTTGTATAACTGATCCCGGTTTGGTGCAATTACTTGCACAACTGTGTACAAGAGTAGAATGAGAGGACATACTTGGAAGGTGACGAGACAAATGTGTCAAAGATGTTTGAATAAACATCCGTTTAAGAGTCATAAATAAGTGGAGAGAGTGAGGCCAATTCGATATACTGTAGATTTAAATTTAATATTAGAAATAAGTGAAAATGTTAATGGAACTACTGATGGTCTAAGGGCGATCTTCCCCTACAGCACACTTGCCCAGGTACGGCATATATGTATGCATGTGTATGTAGGCCCTCACAGCGGGGGCGTCTAGTGATCCCCCAAGAGGACATGAGAATGATCCAGGAGGTGAAACTCCTGCCGTATAATTATCAGTATCCTCTGTTCTTCTACAAGAAGAACCGTTGTAAGAGTTCCTCCGACCATGTATCTTAATTATGTGTTACCCTTCACTACGTAAAACCAAAATGGGAGCAGGGAAAGGGGTGCAAGGATAAAAGACTAATCCATCAAACAGAATGCCGCTAATGTGACATATATATCTATCAATGAGAAAATCATCTGGAGGGGATTCGAGCCTGCAACCAAGACTCTTCCCAACCACTGACTAACTACTGGACCACCTTGACCTGATGCAAGTTAAGCAATCTGATTTCTACTGAAATCACAGTAAGTCTGGAGGCCTCTACTGATGTCCGATAAACTCTCCGGTTTATCTTCTCATTGATGATAGATTTCTCTTTGTACCTGAAATTGGAGCGTACGGTGCACGAGCTACGTTGACTACAGTCTTTTGGGGGGCTTTATGTAAAACTTGGACCGACTTTAAACTAGGAGGTTCTTACCAAGTTTTTAGTAGGTTACGTTCAATTAGTTTGAGAGTTTTCTACAATGTCAATTTGTTCTCTTGCTGACCAGACTTATCTTTTACTCTAGAGGCCTTTAACAACTTTACATTTTTATCAATGGAAGGCGCCTGCTTGTAGGCTGATAATCTTGCTACGTCAACTACAGTTACCAGTGGATTACAAATTCAGAATTTTATTTTTAGTAAATTTATTTACCTTATTTACTCGCTTAACACTAAAGTAGATTTACTTAGCCAATTTTCCTTCAATGTAACGGCATTTCTTGAGTAGAAATCAAATTAATATTAAACCTGCTTGGCGGTGTTCAAGTCTAGCACCCTTTGTGTTTTTTAGTTTTAAACTGCAACATGTTGGTACTGAGAGGCCTCTTGTGTCGAGCCACACTCAAAGCTGGGGAGCTATGCAAAATGGTTACAAATTATTACATAGCAGTCACTGCTCAAGGCAATCCCACAGTACTGTAGACTACGAATACTTGGCCCATGATTATGTTACCCAACTTACTACAGCGTTTGCCATGTCTAAGTTCTATTAAACAATCTTATTACCGATATTTTCTATACATTTGACCATTATTACATTGAATTCACAAGATTCTCATCTTAATACTTTTTTCCTACAACCATGCATGATTTTACTCTTAGTAAAGGCCGTTCAGAGTCCTGAAAGTCACCATCCACCTTTAATGTACTTAAATTTATTGTTGGCCACCATATGAAATACTCTGACCATCATCGTATGAGGCGGTAGCCTGGTCACCGTATGAAGTATCCTGGCGAGGATATGGAAGAGCCTGGCGAAAGTATGGAGTAGCCTGGCGACTATATGAAGCAGCCTGGCCGCTGTACGGGGTAACTTTCGTCACCTGCAGCCCAGGTATCTTGTCAAAGTCCTGTAATAAACAACATTTATGACTAGACTTCAACAGCTAATATTAACAAAGGGTTCATCAGATCTGAGCATATACTAGCCAGATCACAACTGCAACTTGACAAAAGGAAATGTTTTTCCCCCTCTTATATAACTACTAAAATATCAAATCACTTATGTGCAACATTTGCTTCACTGACGCTTCAACTGCAGGCATTTAATTACTGCCAGTTGGTTAATAAGTTAATATTTATTCAGACTTACAGTAGTTCCTACCACTTCAGCCAGTTTCCACCAAAATGTACAAATATTTACATTTGTACAAGATACAATCAAGAAATTACAAAAACACTAACGACTTCATTTCCATCTAGACCCATTTCCAGTAAATAATTTTCTGTAATATCTAGGACGAATTCGGTATATTAGGTTTGCTTAGGAGGAGAAAGTTAATCTCGCCATGCTAATTGTCACTAAAGTTTTAAGCGGCTTTACAGCTGTTCACACTAGCTACAACTAAAGACTTGCATCAATTCGACAAAGCTAAATCTAACCTAGAATTCTAGATTACACGATATATTACAATGAATTCGTACATTAATCATAATGTGCAAATTTATTAAAATGATTATGAATAGAAAAATTATATTCGCCTCACCATCTTCCTAAGCATCTCCTTTGTTTCTGTATCAACTTCTATAATACTCTGCTCTATGGCGGAGACCTCTGGGACGTAGTTGTCCCTGCGGTCACGCTCCTCCTCCTGTAGCTTTATGGAGATCCCGTGCACCGGCCCACGCTGTATGCGTTTCATCAAGTGGGTGACAAACCTGCAACATCAGATTCTGTTATGCAACTAAAAAAAACAAACTGTCCAGTGCTGAACATGGTAAGCTACGTCGAAACGTCATATGTGGCTAGGCTGTAAATTACACAATATTTCTTAGAACTTTAGTGTCTTGTTGAACTCGTACCAAGATCAAAAGTGACAAATTGACTGACCCACCTCTTTCTTGCTTTTCCTTCAGGCTTGGTAAGGGCCGTACTATACTTACGACAGAGTCCACGCTGGTAGATTAAAGCAGCTTTACGCCTATAGCCTAACCAATATTAAGTACCAGGGCCCAGATTCACGAAAGCACTTACGCAAACACTTACGAACGTGTACATCTTTCCTCAATCTTTGACGGCTTTGGTTACATTTATTAAACAGTTTACAAGCATGAAAACTTCCCATTCAACTGTTGCTACTGTTATAAACAGCCTCCTGGTGCTTCGGAGCTCATTAACTGTTTAATAATTGGAAACAAAGCCGCCAAAGATTGAGAAAAGATGTACAGGTTCGTAAGTGCTTTCGTGAATCTGGCCCCAGAATACCGTAGCGTGTACCAACCCGGCTATCTTGTTGCGGAGGTGCTTGGTAGGGATAATGGCAATCTCCTGACAGATGCGCTTATTGGTGTGAAAATCAGTGCCCAGGCGGGGATAATATTTCTCTATGATCACGCGAGCCGCCTTCTTAACCGTCTTCGTACGCACACGACCCTGATGAATAGGTTTTTAAATAAATATATTGTAGATATGCACAGTTTATGTCTATAAATGCAAAGAATTCCTGCTATTGCAAGTTTCTATATTAAAAATACAATTAGTCAACTTTTAAAGTTCCCTATAACTTCAGGACATTATTAAACAAGTTACATAACATGGCAGAACAATAACTGAAAACAGGAATCAAAGTTTTGAAGAAGGGTGGAGAAGGCCAAGTGGGAAGAGAAAAGATCAGTTGAGAAAATACTTTGAGTAAAAAGTAGACCTGATGAAAAGCGCCAAATCTGAAGACTGGACGTTATGGTTTAAGCCAAGGCTGCAGTAAATAAAGACAGTATTGAACGGAATCTTGGGCCCTTAAAAATAGGTCCCTTAAAAGTGTCATTAGACGAGAATTCCTGGATGGATTTGAAGAAAGAATAGTGTAAACTGAAATCAGCAGGTCCATTGTTTATCACAATGAAATGTGAAGTAAAACGTGTGTACGGGGCAAGTAACAGTCAGTAGACTAACAGATGTGAAAGCTCTAATAAGACTTTGCTACAAGTATCTCTGGCAGCTCGGCTTTTATAGGGATCTAGATGAAGTAGTGTAAAGTGTGTGGACAAAGCCAGGCACACACTAACACTATCTTGGATTGTAGTAAAATTAAGCCATTTAGAGGTAAATTTAAGCTCACGCTGTATGATATGGCAACCTTTCTTATTACCATGGATAAGGATAAAATACCTGAAATCCTTGCGCTGTGTCCATATTTCGCTCCCAATAGATATTTGATATGCGATATTAAGAATTGTGAAGACTAATAATAAACAAAAGCTCCCCTATGAATAATATCTCCATTGCTCAAAAAATTATGTATTGGCGATAAGACATACCATTAATGTACAATGACACTAAATATGTAGCTCTTGAAATAGAACATTCTCCAACTAGCCGACATGAAACTAAGGTGTGAAAGATAGATGAAATTGTTTATGTAATAATCTAAGATGAGGTCTGATAAAGACCTTTTGTGTCCTCTGTAATGCTTTTTGCGCTACCGCTCACAGGATGGGTATGGGGTGCACAATAAAAGAGCCGTCTCCGGCGGCAACAATAAAAAAAAATAAGACGAGCAGGACACTAAATGTCATACTAACCTTAAGTAATTTACAGACTTAAAAGTACGGATTAATGATCGACAGTATTTGAAAGACTAACGAACGATCCGTACAACATACCTTTAATAAAAATTCGTGACTTACAAAATGCAGTGGGGGTAAAGCAAGTCAGGATCTAGTGTAACAATCTACTACAAGAGTAGGCGGTCGTTACACTATGGGAGGACAGCCCATACTCCCATAGCGACAACTATTTAGTCGAACGTGTATTGTTGGATCTCATGAAGTTCTCAACCAATATAATTTTAAAACATTCCCAAGCCTAGTATAGCGCACAGGTGGCCAAGAGTGCGTGGACCACTCTTAGGTTTCGTTATATTTTACATTTTTAGCATGCTATGCGAGCCAATTCATTAAAGTAAAACTAACTTTTTTGGGGTATCCACCCGTAGCTGAAGTTACCGAAATTACCCGAGGGCCACTAACACTAGTGGCCTCAACGAGGACAGGATGCCGGCGGCTTGTCTAAGGTAAATATTTGTATATTTGTGCTTTGGACCAAATGGTTGCCAAATATCTCGGGAGTATGGGCTGACGTACCTGTACAGGAGCCTCGCCGTCCATCGTACATTAATACCGTCAGCAAATAATTTTAAAGGCAACCTTTGAACCTAGCCTAACAAGACTATCCCCGTACATCCTAAGCAGGCAATATATACGATTTCGGTCAATCTGAAGACTACTTTAGGTACTCTGCACTTACATTTGCAAAATTTTTGGACGTGTACATCAGTCACGAATAACTAGCCACCACCAAACGCCTTTGTAACCGGTACAGGATCTTTCTGGTTTAATATTTAAACAGCGTGACTGACCAAATACAGCTGCTGGTGCTGTTGTCCACTAAATTACCCCCCTCGAGGCAATACTTTCACCAAGCCTCTAACAAAGTGTGGTAACAACCTCAACCAGCCTTACCAGTTCGAAAACAAAAATTTGATGACAAAACTTTAGCGGTTTTTATGATTATTTGTAGATCAGACAAGCCGCCGGCTTCCTGTTCCCATGGAGGACACTAGAGATGAAACCCTTCAGGTAAATTCAGTTAAGTTCCAAGTTTAGCTTGTGCCGGTCGGAGCGGAACTCGACGCACTAAATAACTTTTATATTTACAAGTACTAACACTGCCGTGCAACACTAACCCAGAGATCCGGCCACAACTTACCATCTGATAGGATTGGTTGGATTGCTTAGATATCAAACTAACCCATCAACAACACCCACGCAAATGGCAGGCCAGGCAGGAACAGGCTACCTGGTTGCTTCTGTTCTCGACAGATGGCACCACTGCATGTGCCGGTTAATTCAAACTAATTTATTCTCATTAATTATCTACATAATTTTGCCTAAATTATATGTCCTAATAACATTATCAGAAAATTTTAACAAATAAACCATTCACTTATGTATTTGTCCAACTTTACATTCAATTTTAGTAGCAAACTAGGGAGTCTGTTTCACACATCTGCTGCCGGTATCAAAACCAGAGTTTACCTCCTTATTTTTTTGTCTAAATCTAACTTAACCGAACCTGCAACCCTAGACAGTAATACTTTACCAACAGTCTTCCATATTAAAATATCAGTACAGTGTTTGACGTGTACATCTGGCAACCAACGAACAATGAAGACGAATCTTTCATGGAGACAAAAACACATGTGTAGGGGAAGTGTGGGGGAGAAACAGGTGTTGAATAGTTGTGAGAGTAGAATACCTAATGTTGCTTATAACTTTGCTTGCGTTGTTTATAACTTTACTGGCGATGTTTGCAACTTTAACGACGGCAAAGGAAGTCAAGCAGCCACAGGCCATTAGATCCAGACGAGGCTGCTTGTTTATGGAAGGCTTGTGAGGGCAAACACAGACCTGTTTGTGTATAGTTAGAGTTGATGGGGGTAAACACCTTAGGCTGCAGCCACGTGCTCTTCCCTTTGTGTACTTTCTTACCGTGTTAGTCATTATGCTTCCGTGCTTATAAATGAACTGCGTGGTTCAGGAACTGAACCCTGCTGTTCATTTAGCTAAGGAAGTAAAAATCCTGTGAAGCTCACAGGATTCAGAATACAGAATGATTCAGAATACAGTTAAAACACAGTTTTGTGAGATAAGGTTTGGTGGAGCGTCCCATCTTGGATGTGTTGTAATTGTGTTATTGTTGTGCGAGTTAATGGGCTGCGGCGCTCAAAAGCATAGCCTAATACACTCTCAGTTGGCTGAGCACAGCCTAATACACTCAGTTGGCTGAGCACAGCCTAATACACTCACAGTTGGCCGAGCACAGCCTAATACACTCAGTTGGCCGAGCACAGCCTAATACACTCACAGTTGGCCGAGCACAGCCTAATACACTCACAGTTGGCTGAGCACAGCCTAATACACTCACAGTTGGCCGAGCACAGCCTAATACACTCACAGTTGACTGAGCACAGCCTAATACACTCAGTTGGCTGAGCACAGCCTAATACACTCACAGTTGGCTGAGCACAGCCTAATACACTCACAGTTGGCTGAGCACAGCCTAATACACTCACAGTTGGCTGAGCACAGCCTAATACACTCACAGTTGGCTGAGCACAGCCTAATAAACTCACAGTTGGCTGAGCACAGCCTAATACACTCACAGTTGGCTGAGCACAGCCTAATACACTCACAGTTGGCTGAGCACAGCCTAATACACTCACAGTTGGCTGAGCACAGCCTAATACACTCACAGTTGGCTGAGCACAGCCTAATACACTCACAGTTGGCTGAGCACAGCCTAATACACTCACAGTTGGCTGAGCACAGCCTAATACACTCACAGTTGGCTGAGCACAGTCTAATACACTCACAGTTGGCTGAGCACAGCCTAATACACTCACAGTTGGCTGAGCACAGCCTAATACACTCACAGTTGGCTGAGCACAGCCTAATACACTCACAGTTGGCTGAGCACAGCCTAATACACTCACAGTTGGCTGAGCACAGCCTAATACACTCAGTTGGCTGAGCACAGCCTAATACACTCACAGTTGGCTGTGCAGAGTATTATACACACATAGTTGAAAGTCAGTAATTTTATACACATAGTTGACAAAGCAGAGCCAACACACACAAACACGTACAACTCAACGCCTCAGTTCTCCTCACCATCATACGACGAGGAAGTCAACAATGAAGCAAGCACTCATAAATTTAACTCGCGCAACAAACTTGAAATAAATGTAATGGGCGGTAACCGTATCGTGGTACTTGTTCCAACTATGTCATGAATTTTGTTCACTTGTTCCAGTTATGTCCGAGTATTTTATGAAGCTATTTATTCCTTAACGTTGTTACAATTCTAAAACTATTCAGCTTTTGAGAGTGAAAATACTAGAATATATGTGTGTTGCATAGCTTGTATTAATGCATTTATTAAAAATCCTGCCTCATCCGAATTGCAATTTTACATATCGGCAAAATATGTTTCACACAAATGTTTTCAATAGTTTTTGGCGTTGTTTTGTTTTGCCTTTTGTTATTGAAAAAAAAAGTTAGAACTGAATAACTGTAACATTAAAAGTGTTTAATTTGTTTTATCGTTTGTTTAAAATAATAATAATATTATCTGGATTGAACCAATGAAATGACTCGAACCAGTGATTTGGGTATTCGCAGTGGTACACCTTACCCGCTGTACTATGACATGGTAAAAGGTTTACAACCTGGGATTCCACTGAATCCGCAGGAAGGCTGGAGGCTTCAACCTGTCCACGTTTGACATATAACCCACACAAGCTCTCTGGTGCAGGTAAAGTAGCTCATTAACCGTAGACTCCTGCTTCACGTACACATAGAAATCACACTAACGTGATATATATATACATCAAAGACCCAAAAGTGATTCCATCCACCCGCCAAACCCCCTGTTTATGAATGAAAAACGATTTACACACTACTCACAACTGCTGACGTTCGAACACTTCCTGAACAAGTGCATCACTGACGAATTTTGTTCGAACCACAACGCTGTAAATGCTTCACCCACGTACTACAAATACAAATATTCGCCAACAGAACCTATGCCTATATATGCACAATATGCTAATATATTATAATGCTAATTTATATTTGAGAAAATTCCCGTTTTGAATGAACAGCATGTAAAAATATATGAATGCGTCTGTGGGGTCGACCGTTGGATGTAATGAACTTGAGTCGAGGACGGGTTAAAACAGGGTTTGGCGGCTGGATTAACGAGATTGGGTCTTCGTATGCCAAGACGGGCTGCTAAATGGTCAGTCTTTGAAATGGTTCTACAGGGTGAAGAAGACAGTTGGCACTGTACCAAGTTTGGAGCGGCGGAAAGGGGAGTTTGTTAGTTCATTAAGACATGTTATTAGAGGGAATCACCATTGACAGTTACTGAAGTGTGTCCTCGTGTTTCGCGCGTGCACTTCACCAGATAAATTTGAGAGATGTGAAGCAGATATAAAGGAAATTCTATCAGATGTTAATTATGGGGCGGTTCACCTTACTTTGCGGTTACTGTGCAATCTTGAGGTTATCTTGAGATGATTTCGGGGCTTTTTAGTGACCCCGCGGCCCGGTCCTCGACCAGGCCTCCACCCCCAGGAAGCAGCCCGTGACAGCTGACTAACACCCAGGTACCTATTTACTGCTAGGTAACAGGGGCATTCAGGGTGAAAGAAACTTTGCCCATTTGTTTCTGCCTCGTGCGGGAATCGAACCAGCGCCACAGAATTAAGTCCTGCGCGCTATCCACCAGGCTACGAGGCCCCTTAAGTGTTAAGTGCCCCAATGGTTTCAGGACTCGATGTCCTCGAGGCCCGGTCCTCGACCAGGCCTTCTAGTACCACACTTACACACACACAAACATACTTACAAATGTGTGGGTAAGACGATACAGAATGACAAAAATGCACCAAAAGCAGATCACAATGCCAGAGATAAATTTCATATCGTCTTCTTTTACACATCTGTTGACAAACATTGAAACTGAGACGAGAAATTTCAACTTGTAGAGACAAAAACATAGATGTTCCCCTCGTAAGTGACACGATGTAACTCGGTCGTCTACTGAAACTGAATGGTACTCGTTGTCTGAAGCTCATTGATGCTGACCCCGAGGACTAGAACACCAGTTTCTCAGTTGAGCTTCAACAGTTTCACTCATGAGTGCGCCGTTAAAATCAGTGCAACAAAAATGGAAAAAATACACTTGTCATTCTACACTTTATAAAATTGTTATAGGCAATATCAATTGCCTTTCCAAATATTGACATTTGCTTTCGTATTTTTTTTTAACACCAATGTTAACAACTTGCCCAACTGGGCGTTCATCTTTTGAGCTGAAGTGCATTATAAATCCCAACAGAACATCTCTGCTAAAGGGCAAAATGAATGTCTTTATTCATTCAATGAATGAATAAAGGGCAAAAGTTCTGTAAAAGGCTTGTAACAAGCAAAAATAAGAGATGCAATATTAGCAGGTGTAATATAAATTATATAAAAAAGGCACAACCATAAACTAATGTTAATTATAATTAATACAATCTCTAAGAGAATGTCCAAGATTGGAGACCAAACGCTGAGCTCGTCTCATTAAATTTTACAGGATTACTGGTGATTTTATCGGGAGTGTTATAGGGGGAACAGCCCAGTGCCCCCCCCCCCTACCTTTGAAGCCTGTAAATTTGAAATGATATGTACTGATTCCGTAGACTTTATAATGTTAATAGTAAATTCATAGCCTGATTTTCAAAACATCTTCAGGTATGATTTACATTCCTGAGCACAATGTAATAGTGGTTGGGTACAAGGTTAAGATTTGTGGGTTGTTCCAGAGAAAACAAGCAGGTTAAGGTTTACCTTGAGCTGTGAGAAGGGAAAGTTTGCTAACTAGAGTCAGAAGTCATCTTTTCCTGTGTTCCTCCTTCATCTCTTCTGTACAAAAAAAAATGGTCAGTGATGGAGGAAGAGCTTGTGTGTGTGTTGGAAGGAGATAGTTTGCGAGAGGACATGAGGGAGGGTGTCTCTGGGGGGGGGAGGGTGTAGATGGTGTGAAGATGCATACAGTGATAAAGACAGTGTGTATAGAAGGTTTTTGTAGGGATTGAGAGAGGGGAGCCAGTCGGCCGAGTGGACAGCACACTGGATTTGTGATCCTGTGGTCCTGGGTTCGATCCCAGGCGCCGGCGAGAAACAATGGGCAGAGTTTCTTTCACCCTATGCCCCTGTTACCTAGCAGTAAAAAATAGGTACCTGGGTGTTAGTCAGCTGTCACGGGCTGCTTTCTGGGGGTGGAGGCCTGGTCGAGGACCGGGCCACGGGGACACTAAAGCCCCGAAATCATCTCAAGATAACCTCAAGAAGGGAGAGAGGTGTGTGTCACCTCTACTTCTCCTCATCGTCTATACATACTCTTCATACTCCTCTATAGCACAGCAGGGCGCTCCTCTCTGCCCTCCATGACCTTCCCTAAAGCTTCCATCATCCTCCAATTTCTAGACTTTTTAGACCTTTTCACAACTTTAAAGCTGCTTCTTAAATATCTTCCAATATCTAAAACTCTTCCGAAACTCCAATTTACACTTTTCATTTTTTGCCTCGCTTCTTGCCGCGGAGAGAGGGAGGGGGAAGGGAGAGAGAGCAGCCAATAAATCATCTCGCTTCAATAATAATCGGTATACCAGGATCATTAGTTAAAGAAATAGGAATAAGAGGAACCAGGTTAACCCAATATCTAAGACATGCTCTACATTTCTCTCTACTCCTCTAGGATCCACCCACCACCTCAAGTGATCCACCATAACTTCCCTACACCGCATACTTCCCCGAGTCCTCCATAGCTCCCCAACACTCCCATCCTCATCCCTATTCCTAATGAATTTCTCTACGCCAGCTCCCCGTGCTGTCCGCTGGTCCACCCCATGTTACCCACTCGGCCACACTCTGAGTGTACCAAATTCATTACTGTACTCAAACTAGCTATTATTCCTGAAGCCTCTGCCTCCTCCTGGCAACATACAGGGGGGTCTCGCTGGCTTCAGCCATCTATTATTGTTTAGAATTTCGATCCCCTAAGATTTAGGACTTGCTTAATAGGCTGTGACGTTTCTAATTCTCTTTGGCAGACACGTCATTATGGACTGTTGGCAGTTGTAAGCTCAATCATAAATCTTCGTATGTCATCCTAGTCTCGTGCTAAATACTGCATCTCCATGACCTGGATTCGTAGGCTTCCACACTTGTAACGTATTTGGCCAGATTTGCAGATTGAGTAACGTCATCCGCATAAAGATATACAGTATACCCGTGTTGGTTCAACCTGTCCTCTTACAAAGAACGTCACTTTTCGCTAGTATGAGTTACCTAAGGCCAAAAATTGTCGTACTAGAAAATGGAAGCGGCTGGTGAAAGTGACACTGTCCGGTTTTCTGTTTTGGGTCCAATGGCAGGTTAGGATAAGGGTACTTTAAATTGGCCGTTTCCTTGACGTTGGGGAACCTTAGGGGGACGGGGTGGTTGGTGAGGGGAGGAGGAGAGCTGTGAACATGTTCAGAAGTGTAGGTGATAGCCAGCGTCATTATTCTACATTAATACAGGGAAATATAGCGTGAGTTATACCAAGCGGGCTGTCCGCCTTGCTGACACGACGTGTTTACTCACCTAGTTGTGCTTGCGGGGGTTGAACTTCGGCGCTCTGGTCCCGCCTCTCAACTGTCAGTCTACTGGTGTACAGGGTCCCGAGATTCTTTGAGCTCAGGAAGCTGTGTATTTTGTGGCTAAGCTAAATTGTTCACTCTTGTCGGGGAGCTGTGAGTGTGTTTGGTTCCCCACATATATTCGACACATATGGATGTCTGTAGACGAATACTGTGTACCATTCATATTTACACCTTGAAGCGTGTGTACATATTTTTATTTATTTTTTGCTACCCTGGTGGTGGTGGTGGTGGTGTGGGTGAGGTAGCTGGGGGGACCTGCTACCCTGGTGGTGGTGTGGGTGAGGTAGCTGGGGGGACCAGCTACCCTGGTGGTGGTGGTGTGGGTGAGGTAGCTGGGGGGACCAGCTACCCTGGTGGTGGTGGTGTGGGTGAGGTAGCTGGGGGGACCAGCTACCCTGGTGGTGGTGGTGTGGGTGAGGTAGCTGGGGGGACCAGCTACCCTGGTGGTGGTGGTGTGGGTGAGGTAGCTGGGGGGACCTTCTACCCTGGTGGTGGTGGTGGTGTGGGTGAGGTAGCTGGGGGGGACCAGCTACCCAGGTGGAGTTGTGGGCATGAATGAGAAACTTGGCTGGTGTGGTGGGCTGGGTGGCGGCGGGTGGACGGGGTCTTTGTGAGCACCTCAGACCTCACACTTGTGTCAACCTCGCCCCCCCCTGCACACCCCCACAGCACACCTACACCCCCACACACTTCCCGTCTCCTGCCGTTAGTACCCGGTTTAGAATAGTATATTTTCTCAAGTACAAGGTCACCTATCGGTTATAAATTGATATTCTTACTGTGGCGTATATTTTTAAAATTTTACTATAGAAACGAATTATATTGATGAATTTGAACATAGCTGGTAAGGTTGAATGTGTAGCGTATATATATAATATTTGATCGTATGAATATTATTAATATTTCAGAAATAACTCCAAAGAAGATCTTTCTTGCCCTGGCGTCTGGCAGCTGCCATGCAGGGAGTGGGGCGTCCTCACACGCTACGATGTCTGGGATGTTTTGTGCATTTCTAGCAAGAGGGAGAGATTAATCTTAGACTAAATGCGGTGAGATGAGATGAATACTCAAATAGACGTTCTTGTAATTATTGTATTGTTAAACGTATAATAATAATGTAGTTGCAAATATATTCGCGAGTCTGGCATACCGGCTCTCTGCAGCAATTTTTAGCCTGTAAATTTACTGCTTGTTATGAGAAACGTCCATATATATTTTCCTTTTTATACTATTATGTATCCCACATTATTTACATGTTTCTTTCATTGTTTATTAATCATATAAATGATAGGTAACGAGAAAGGATTATGTATTTACTGTACGAGAAGTTGCCCTACCCCGCCCGGCGCCAGCATCGACCTGCAGGGCAAACTGGGTGGAGCTCAGTGGTTCCTGGACCAGTGACGGGTGGGGGCACGGCACGTGTATCCCTCATTATCTCTCTAGTCAAGTAATTATACCGACATGTAACAGTGTGTGCACTTCGTGGATCAAGAGGAAACCTGGAATAAGCGTAAAGGATCTATACAGCACAAGGTGAATATATATATTCCAAGCGTTTCAGCGAGTGTATTTTTTTTGTTCCTGGAAGCTGTGGCGTGCGGCCGTTGGAGCGAAGGTCCAGCCAGGCCGGAGTCCTGGACTCGGGGTTTTGAATTTCCGACTTGGTGGCGTTTATGGCTTGATGGCGGAGGTGTGTGCTGCACAGGAAGGTGTGTCTGGTGGTGGTGGTGCACAGTGGGGCCGGCAGGAGGAGCGTGGGAAGCTGTGGTCCGCAGGCAGCGTGTTTACCGTCAGTGGAGCATGGCGGCCACCGTGTGTGTGTTCAACACGGCCAAGATGCTCCCTCATGCTCTCTACCACCACCACTACACACCTGCATACATTCACACACCTGGGCCAGCAGGCGGCGCTATGTTGCTTGCTAGTATCAGTTTCTGCTGGCTATGTGCGCACTATGTGGTATACGCGCGTGTGTGTATGTGTGGTATACGCGTGAAGTATACCTTGCGGACTTACCTGGTTCCCCACCCCCCCTATACCTCATCACCCCTCCCCCCATCATCCCTCATCACCCGACTCACTCCCTCTACCTGTCTCGTATACTGACTCATCAGGCAGCTAGTGGCTCTTACCTCGTCAGAAATCGTTACTACACATCCGCCTTCCACACCTGCCTGCCTCGCCCACCTGGGCCTCCTCACTCATCACTACCTCATTCATCGACCTCTTCCCTACCTCACACACGGTTACCGTCCAAATTTAAGCTTTGCAAAGCTCCAGTGCTTGACCTCTGGGAATATATGCCATTATCATACCTGTCATCTTGTACAAAAGTTTTATGTAGGTCCTGTCTTATACCTCTCACAACAAGGTCTTTTTGTGCCTACTTGGTGCATTTTTATTGTTATTCAAAGCATAGTTTGCTTATTTTTAATTTGTTGAGCGTTTCTATCGAAAATATAAAAGCATCTGGCAGCGCGGAGGTCGTGGAGAGATTTGCAATTCATTGCCACTTGCTTGCCTGGGTCACTGCAACGGTTGAAACAAAGGTTGGACAAATAGGTTAGCGAATGGCAGTGGATTGGTATAAGCACAAGCTGGCGCACCTTGACAATGGCCAATTTAGTTACCTTAAGCCCCAGGCCGGGCTCGCGGGAGTATAATTACTCCTGAAACCTGCTCCAGGTATACTTGTCTTGCGTTCTTACGTTCGCACAAGAGCAGCCCATTGTCTTCGTATTGCTATGAGTCGTTTCGTAATACTGCACTACATCTTGTTTTAGCCCAAGGGCATGTATCTAGTGTTTTCAGTTCATGTGTGTGTATTTTGGTGGGTCACTTTGTTTTTAAAAGGTATTTAATACTTTACGAAAGATCGGTAGAACTTTAATGTCCCGTCCTCATTATCAATGTAATGTCAGGGTTATCCAAATTCTTGGTACCTGCGTTAAATGGGCTGCCGAGTTTACTATGAGATAAGAACAAAGGTAACTGCAGAAGGCCTATTGGCCCATTCAAGGCAGCTCCTATTGGATGATAGAGATGCTTAAAGATGTTACACGACCAAAGATCACATTCACTCCAAACCTCTACCACCTACGGGTTACTCATGCCCGTACCACTTCTTGTGGTAACTTAATCTTAAGCCACAATAACAATTATAATAATAATGTAGGCTGAGGGTGGAGTAGCGGAGCCCGGCCAGGCCGGCGGCCTCTTCGTATGAAACACGCCGGGGAACCACGCCCCTTTTACTCCGCTCTTTCCATCTCTTATTGAATGTTGCTTCGTTCATTATCATGGTGTATGGGACATTTTGGTTGTGTGGGGATAAAGCTTCTTGAGCACAAGGCTAAAGGGTTGGTGATAATCATGAGTATTAATATCACGACAGGCTTGATATCTCTTTTTGACTGCAATAGTTGCCTGGTACGTAGGCTAGCGTAAGCCTCGTGGTTCTGAATTCAACATGGCGTCTACGTACTAATTGTTGCGTTTTTTCTAAGGGCTAAATCCAAAGTACTGTGAAGTTATTGCCGGTTTCCAGAAACATGGTTGTCCTAATGCCAACAGAAAGCAATATATGTACATAATCAAGCTTTAGGATTTCCATTAACCCTAAGTGTTAGTTGATTACATGTAAAACAACTTTATAGCTGGCCTGTAGGCTATAATTGCGTCATGCGGATCAAAAATGTGCTTTGAGGACATAGTAATCTGGTCAATGATTACATGTTATGCTGCTGGTTTTCAATGTGTTGCTATGAACGCGTCAATTGTTAATAAAAACGTATTTAAAGGCAAGTATAACCCTGCATTGTTTTGTCATATAATGACGTGCTGTAACCGTGAACTTTGGCCAAAATAACTGGTGTTAAGTCTGGCTCGTGGTGAATGAGATGATGGTTGCTGTTTGTTGTTGTTACTGATGGAGATGACGGTTGTATATGGCCCTCTTGGGGGGAACTGAAGACCACGACTTCCCTTAATGGTGTTTACGGACGGGCAGTTTGTTTTCGCCCCACTGGTGATGTTTTGTGAGATTAAGAACATAAGAACAAAGGTAACTGCAGAAGGCCTATTGGCCCATACGAGGCAGCTCCTATTCTATAACCACCCAATCCCACTCATATACTTGTCCAACCCGTGCTTGAAACAATCGAGGGACCCCACCTCCACAATGTTACGCGGCAATTGGTTCCACAAATCAACAACCCTGTTACTGAACCAGTATTTACCCAAGTCTTTCCTAAATCTAAACTTATCCAATTTATATCCATTGTTTCGTGTTCTGTCCTGTGTTGATACTTTTAATACCCTTCAGGTATTATGATTACCTGCTTCAGGTATAGATTACCTGAAGCACGGCCCGTTTCATCTGCAAGTCTGTAATTTATTAACCTTATCCTAGAATATTCGCAAACTAAAGCCTATGTTTCTTTAGTCGTTCCATTTAGGAAATTTTACTTTTACTGGATTTTACAGGTGATGTCTACGAAACGAACCTTTCGCTCCATTTCTAAACTGTGACGTGAAGAACGTGTAGGCACACGCGCTACCTTCCCATATTTCCTTTAAAGACCTAAGACATATAGTGGGTGGAACGACAAGCATCGAAGATGACACACTATCCAGGTATTTCACCAATTTACCATTGGGAATGACTAAAATACACGCCACTCACCGTATCCCTTGTAGCGTGACTTGAAGCTGTCATTTGATAGTACGTAATGACTTAAAAGTGCCACGGACAAAGCAGATGGATCCTTTTCCGCAGTCATTCGCATAATAAAACTTGCTCTTTGTTCTTCATTGGCAGTCTGCTTAAATTAATAATCTTAGCTGCTAATGTCATAAGATTCAAATAGGCCTACCAAGGTTTTGGAATCCCACTTGTGTGGCTACGTTGTAACGACTGTCGTAAATATAAAGAGGCCTTAGAGTTAAAAGCTGTAGCAGGGTATCATTCAAACTAGGCTATGGTGTAAATATCAGAATTGCAACAATTTTATTCTTTGCATAGTATAACATTACTAAAGATTTGATTTTTTTTTTTTTTTTTTTTTTTGCGATATATACAAGAGTTACAATCTTGTAGAGCCACTAGTACGCGTAGCGTTTCGGGCAGGTCCCTGGAATACGATCCCCGCCGCGAAGAATCGTTGTTACAACCAAGTACACATTTTACTGTTGCGTTAAACAGAGGCTACAGTTAAGGATTTGCGCCCAGTAAATCCTCCCAGGCCAGGATACGAACCCATGACATAGCGCTCGCGGAACGCCAGGCGAGTGTCTTACCACTACACCACGGAGACTGTTAAAGAGTCTCCGATTATTTAATCTAATTAAAATTAGATTATTTAATTTAAAGAGCTACTTGCTCTAGTGCATATACGAACGTATACTAAAATTGCAAAATCAATTATCCATAGGTCTTGTTCCACATTTAATATTGAAGAAATTTAGCCATGAATTTCGGTGACAATTAAGTCTAATTGGAATATATATACCTGTTCAGGCTAACTCATCCCAGCCCTCTCACCAAAGCCCTCCAGACTTAACTATACTGGATGTCAACATTTTTCAAAATGGAGCATTAAAACTGCAGTTGAACAATATCAGATTCGGTCTTGTGCCAAAAGAGAAGACTTCCTGCTTCGTAGGAGATTACCAAATTGAAATTATAATCCTTCCCTCTTCACCCAAGAAGCAATTTGTAGATCAGCCCAAGCTTCATCTTTATGCAAAGCATAACCATTAAACTGTGAAAGTCGGTTTAATATTGTTCAGATAGGAAATTCTTAACATTTACAAGAACAGACATACTTTGCTAATAATGCCTAATAGGAAGATGAAACTTTGTTATACAAAGTTTAACAATGTACAACAAAATTGTTAAGACTGGTATCATCGTGTTTGAGATGCGAGTGAAATTTAGTATATTTTGTCATTTTCTTCATTTACTCGTAATTTTTATTCAATCCGACAATCGTCTTGAGAATGGTCCAGGATTGGACCGAAACGTCGTCGTCCCTTCACATTCTAGTGTGTGGTCTGGTCATCATACTTTAGCCACGTTATTGTGACTCATCGCCTGCGTTTATTCAATCCAATACCCCCCATATAATAATGCATAAAATTAAAGAATAACTTAAAATTTAGTCTTTACAGTACTTTAATATCTGAATTTAATATGAAAGGCTGCTTAGCATTGGGAACTTTAAATTATAATTTTAACTTTTTCGGAATTGCTCACAAGATAGTTTACTAAACAGTCTTAAGCCATATACACTAACGGTACTCTTCTCCACCCCGCTGGTGTTGCCGAGAATGCAAGTGTAGCGATTATGAATCTTATCTTGAGGTTATCTTGATGTTATATGATTTCGGGGCTTTAGTGTCCCCGCGGCCCGGTTCTCGACCAGGCCTCCACCCCTAGGAAGCAGCCCGTGACAGCTGACTAACACCCAGGCACCTATTTTACTGCTAGGTAACAGGGGCATAGGGTGAAAGAAACTCTGCCTATTGTTTCT